CCTTATTTTTTTCCTTTTGGTAGTTTTGGGTTTCATTTTTCTTTTTCTTGTTCCTTAAGTTATAAAGTTAGGTTGACTTGTCATCTTTTTTTAAAGCAAGCATTTACAGCTATAAATTTCCCCCTTGGCACTGCCTTCGCTATGTCCTGTAAATTTTAGTATACTGTGTTTTTGTTTTCATTTGTCTCTTTGACTGATGGGTCATTTAAGAGTCTTATTGCTTAATTGCCACAAACTTGTGAATTTTCCAGTCTTCCTTCTGTTATTTCTTCCAATCTCATCATGTGGTCAGAGAAGGTACTTTATATGATATCTTTTTAAATCTATTGAGACTTAATTTGTGGCCTAACATATAGTCTTGTCCTGAAAAATGCTCCATGTGCACTTAAGAAGAGTGAGCATGCTGTTGTTGGGCAGTGTGTTCTGTCTGTGCCTGTTAAAGATAGTTGGTTTACTGTGGTGGGCCAGTCCTTATCTTCTGTCTGGTCCTATCCATTATTGACTGTGAGATATTGAATTCTCCAACAATTATTGTCAACTCTCCATTTTTCCTTTCAGTGCTATGAATTTTTGCTTCATATATTTTGGTGGTTTGCTATTAGGTATGTATCTTTAGTATTTCTTTAATCCACTGGGACCACTACTACTATTTACTTTCACACCTTCCTTTCATTTCCTTACTTCCCCTCTCTTAGAGCCTAGATTCCAAAGTCCATTATTAAAATCACTTCCTGGCATATATCCCACATCCCATACTCCTAGAAAGATACCAGTTTGATTCAAATTCATCTCTCTGCCTCAAGCAGCTGGTTATGACAGGTCGGGCCGCAATGCCTGCAGAGTCAGTGTGGAATCCCAGGCCTCATCCTGACCTTTCCCGAGTGTGTATGTCTCCCCGCAGATCCCTTCTATCTTGCCGCATGAATTGTCCCTTCCCCTTCACTCTGGAAAGCTCTGGAGAAGTGGCAGGGGACATTCAGTGTTCTTCTTTCCAAGAAGAGCCATCCGTAGGTAGGCATCCGCCTGCAATTTTTGATCCTCCGCTTGAGAGTGGCAGGTAATGGTCTGCTTCTAGTCCACCATCTTCCCTCACCGACAGTTACTTTTGAGTAGCTTCTAAACTTGTGTCATAGTTGACTTTGGCAACTTCTAATTCTACAACTGCTGACGGCAGAAGGGCAGAGCCTGGGCAGCATCAGGAACCAGAAGCCATGAAGCAGCTTCAGCAACAGGTTCTGCCCCAGCTGGCACCTGCCTGTGCCATCGGAGTACCTAACTGAAGATTTTGAAATGTTCAGGGCTTAGTCTTGGACCTATTCCCATGCTAGTCTTTAGATAATCTCTTCCCAGGGCTTTAATACCAGCTATATGCTGATGACTCCCAAATTTACTTTCTTCTTTGGGCCCTAGATTTTACATCAAATTGCCCATTCAACATCTCTACTTCAGGATGGGTGTGGTGGCTCACACCTATAATCCCAGCACTTTGAGAGGCCAAGGAAGAAGGATCACTCGAGTCCAAGGGTTTGAGACCAGCCTGGGCAACAAAGACCCCATCTCTACAAAAAAAAAATAGCAGGGCATGGTTGCAAGCACCTTTAGTCTTAGCTACTTGGGAGGCTGAGGCAGGAATATCACCTTGCTTGAGACCAGTGTTGGAGGCTGCAGTGAGCTATGAAGGAAAACTCAACTTCATTGTCTAATTGAATATACCAAATTTAACACATCTAAAACAGAACTCTTGCTTTTTCTCCCCAAACCTGCTTCTCTAGTCATCTCCATTTCAGTAAATGGAACCATTCATTGCCCTAGTTATTCAAACAAAAAAGGTGTAAGTCATCCTTATCTTTCCCTGATACCCTCCCTCTAATATATAACTGATAGAATAATATATCCCTATTCCAACTACTTATCACTACTACTACCACCCCCACCCTAGTCCAAGTCACTTTTTTTTTTTTACGAGACAAGGTATTATTCTGTTGCACTGGTGTGATCATAGCTCACTGTAACCTTGAACACCTGGCCTCAAACAATCCTCCTGCCTCAGCCTCCTGAGTAGCTGGGACTACTGGTGCACACCACTATGCCCAGCTAGTTTTATTTTTTGTAGAGATGAGGTGTCACTGTGTTGCTCAGGCTGGTCTCCAAGTGATCCTCCCAAAGTGCTGGGATTGCAGGCATGAGCCACCATGCCCAGCCAAGTCACCAATATCTTTTGCCTAGATTACACACCAGCTTCCTAGCTAGTTTTTATAATAAATCCTTGCCACTCTACATTCTTCCATCAGGAGCCAGGATGATCTTTCAGGATCCTCTAGTATCTTCCTAACACATTTAGAACACAAGACTACATCATGGCCTATAAGAGCCTGTATGATCTAGGCCCTGATTACTTCTCTATCCTTTGTGCCACTCTCCCCTTCCCCTTACTCATTCCATGCCAGTCACACTTGCCATTCCTTGAACCTGTTAAGCTTTTATGTCCAAGAGGAGACTTGTCTCTGCATGGAAAGCTCTTTCTTTAAGTACTCACATGGCTGACTGTTTTACTTCATTCAGGTCTCTGTTCAAATGACACCCTAACTAAAACATATACTCCCCCAGCCACCACCACCCCTGGTTACCCACTACCCCTTATCCTCTTTCTTCATAGCAAGTATAATTATCTGACCTACACACACCCTCTCTCTATACACCTATTCACTGCCTCTGCTACTGAAAGGCAGGATCCTTTAAAAAGCGAGTGTATCCTCAATGCCTAGAATAGTACTTGGAACATAACCAGTGTTCAGTAATTTTTTTATTGGACGACAGACAACAACTCCTTAATCCAAAATGACGCCTTCCTGAATGAGAATTATAACACTGTCAATGCTCTTAATGGTATCTGAGCTATATAAAGAATAAAAAAAAATGCAGACATACTTGACATTTTATAAGGATGTCAAAGAAGTCTTCATCAGGCTCTTTGTTGTCATTCGTCATTAGGTGGCTGAGTACTGACTGATTGTTGTTTTGTGTTAGACGAAGACCTGGCAAATTATTAAAACTGGCCCTCTGGTCATCCAGACGGCGGCTCTGTGAGCTGGCAAGAAGATCTAAAAACTCATCCGTGTTGGGGGATACTACAGAAACAGATGGTGCTATGAAAAGAAGAAAAAACACAAAATGTTACAAAAAGATTTAAGCATATTTGTTATATATATTTCTTTTTGGCCTTGCCAGTCCCAACAACCCTCTGCCCTCCTGCTTCAGGCTGTCCCTGATGGGTTTTGGCTAGATGGATGTGGTTTTTATTGATGGGGAGAGAAGAATGAACCCCCGGGTACTTCCAATGACCCACTTGGAGGTTATTCGGATTTGGGTATATTTCCCTTTGTCTAATGCTCACCCAAAATGTAACTATATGACACAGGGCTAGATACCAGAAGGTGAATAAACTGTTTTTCTTTCATAATTTCTCAGACCAGGATGAATGGGACAGTGTTTTTTTATTCCATGGATAGAAATCATTTAGTAAACTAAGAGTAGTGCTGCTGGCTAGTCTTGGTCTATGGTAC